TATATTTATATATATTTGTAATATTATTATACTTACCTTTACAGGTATGCCATCCTCAGGTATGAGCTCTGGGTATTCGGTGGCAAAGTTCACCATTGGTTCGATGTTGTCGATGCCCTAGAGTGAATACAAGATATATGACTTCAGATGCAGTAAGAAAAGAAGAACGTGTATATATGTTTGTGACTCTTATATAATTACAAGTTCATAAAATACAGTAAAGTAGATATTGCGTATATATATATACATATATATATATATATATATTGATATGCATACAAATACATGTCCAAGATATGAATACGTAGACATATATACAATATATGGAGAACATCAGCTCTGCCTAATTCTCTAGGTATTTGCGTACACGCAATCGCACATACATTCTACATTGACCATTAGGACTCTTCCCAATATACGAAGTATACTGTAATCCAGATCGAGTACGATCTGTTGAGTGCCATATAATATATCATCATATTATACATGAGTATATGCACAGTATATATATATATATATATATATAAATAATAAAAGATATGTATATATTTACATATATATATATATACATACATACATACATACAAACATATATATATATATATATATATACCTTCAGATGCAGCTCTACACAGACCACGTCGTACATCTTCTCCGGTTCCATTGGCTTGTTCGCTATGTGTGTAATTGTTTGTGTAGCACTGTCCCACCTTACACCGTCGTCTACCTATCCGCACGTGAAGGTTTGATAAAGATAAAGCGTGTTAGGAAGAAAATATATATATATATATATATATACATATATATGTGTGTGTGTGTATATATATATGTGCAAAAGCGATCCACATAGCACACATCCATGAGATGTAAACGCCATCCGTTCGCATGCAAGAAAATACACGGGTGTTATGTGTTAGTGCATGTGTGCATGCTCAAGCTACACAGGCACATGGATTGGAGCAATGTATATGTTCGCCTGACAATATTCGACTGAGGGTGTGAGTGTGTGCGTATAGATCGATTAAAGCTGAAGGTTTGATACAGAAAAAATGTTTTGAGACAATTAATGTGCTCAAAATGTGTGTTTGTATTAAGGGTTTTAGACATATATTTGTGTATGTGTAAACAGATCAATGAAGCAGATGAGAGTCGTACGCACAGATGTGTTTCAGAAGAAACGGTGCGCTCATATGATGTTTATACTTTTGGTGTATATGTTTCTATTTGTGAACGAACGCCGTTCATGGTCGTACGAAGCGCGAAGACAAGATATATATATACACACACACACACACACACACACATATATATATATATATATATATATATATATATATA